AAAACTGCCAGGCACTGATGACTCATGCCTGTAATCCTAGCTAACTGGGAGGCTGAGATCTAAGGACTGAGGTTCGAAACCAGCCTGAGCAGGAAAGTCTGTGAGACTCTTATCTCTATAAACTACTCAGAAAAAGCCAGAAGTGGTGCCGTGGCTCAAGTGGTAGAGTGATAGCCTTGAGCACAAAGAGGCTCAGGGACAGCGCTCAGGCCCTACGGTTCAAGCCGCAGGACCAGCCAAAAAAAAAAAAGAAAGGAAGGAAGGAAGGAAGGAAGGAAGGAAGGAAGGAAGGAAAGAAGGAAGGAAGGAAGGAAGGAGAAACAGAAATACATAAAACAACATATGAAAACAGCATGAAGAACCTTAATGAAAAATGTTAATGCAGGGGTTGAATGGCAGGGAAATAAAAATAAGATCTAGTGGTTATGGTTACTAGTGGGTGGGATTTTGGGCTAACAAGAATGAAGTCTAACAAATATAGTTAGACATTTGCATTCATGAAAAGAGAATAATGAAATGTGTTGAGACTGTGTTGGGACAGAGATAGAGGGGGCCAGACTGGTTGAAATGCATTGCAAATGTACAAGGAAATGTCCCTGCGAAGGCACTCTCTGTTACTAATATACCCTGATAAAAGTAATGCTTTTGTTTGTTTGTTTTTGGTACCAAGGTTTGAGCCCAGGGCCTTGCACTTGCTCGGCTGGCACCAGACTACAAAGCCATGCCTTCCCCTCCACTCCTGCTTTTTTTGCACTGGTTATTTTTTTCATTTTTAATTGTTATTATAATGTTGATGTACAGGGGGTTACGTTGCATAAATCAGGTAACGAATACATTTCTTTCTGGACAGTGTCACCCTTCCCTTGCTCTCTCCCAGTTGGCACTGGTTTTTTTTGTGTGTGTGTGTCTGGTCCTGGGGCCTGAACCCTGGGCCTGGGCACTGTCCCTCAGCTCTTCAGCTCAAGACTAGCGCTCTATCACTTGAGCCACAGTGCCACTTCCGGCTTTTTTCTTTTTGCTTATGTGGTGCTGAGGAATCGAAGCCAGGGCTTCATGCATGCAAGGCAAGCGCTCTACCACTGAGCCACTTTCCCAGCCCTGGTACTGGTTATTTTTAAGATAGGTCTTGCTTCCTGACTAGGAATGTGCCTGGACCATAACCTGCTTATTTTATGCTTTCTACATAGCTGGGAAGACAGCCATGTGCCACCATGCTCAGCTTCTTTCAGTGAAATGTAGTCTCTCTGACTTTCCTGCCTGGGCTGGCTTGGAACATGAGATGGAATACTATGTAATCATTTTTAAAAATCTGAGAGCCAGTTGCTCAGGTTTTTTTTTTTTTTTTGGTTGGCTGTGGGGCTTGAACTCCGGGCCTGGGCGCTGTCCCTCAGCTCTTCAGCTCAAGGCGAGCGCTCTACCATTTGAGCTACAGCGCCACGTCCGGTTTTCTGGTGGTTTATTGGAGATAGGAGTCTCACGGTCTTTCCTGCCCGGGCTGGCTTTGAACCGCGATCCTCAGATCTCAGCCTCCTGAGTAGCTAGGATTACAGGCGTGAGCCACCAGCGCCCGGCAGTTACTCAGGTTTGAGGACTGCAGTTTGATAGGAAAGTCCATGAGACTCTTATTTCCAATTAACTACCAAAAAAGCTGGAAGTGGAGCTGTGACTCAAGTGGGAGAGTGCTGGCCTTGGTGCAAAAGCTCAAGAACAGCACCTAGGCCCTGAGTTCAAGCCCCAGGACTGACAAAACAAAGTGTCTTCTAAAATATTGACATGGAGAAACATTCACAACATAATGTCAAATTAGAGATGGGAAGCAGGCTGCATAATAATGTGGTATATAGTTCTACTTCTATAGACAATAATAGGATGCAAAACCATCAGAAGTCCACAAAGCAACATTTAATGGTGGCTCACCTGGGAATAGGAGAAATATCAGGGAATTGCCCTCTCTGTGCCCCAATACTTTCTAAGCAGTGAGACACAGCAGGATGAAAACCTTTAGTATGTTCTTCTCATAGATGCTATGGGCACACAGAGCCCTGTGTAGTGTCAGCAGTGCCCCTGACCTTGCCTGAAACAGGAATCCGGCACAAGCATCGAGACAGGTGCCAGAGGGAGCAGAGGCAAACTGGGCAGAGAGACCTTGGCTTGGAGGCTGAGTCTTAGAGATCAAACCCTGGTTTAGGGGATAGAAGCCAAGCCAGGTGTGGAATGGCACCAAGGGTATGGAAAACAACTTGAAGCAATAACACATTTGGCCTGGGTTGCAAGGCAATTGAGAGGGGAGGTTGGTGTTGCTTTAGGTCTCCTAAGCACAAACAGATCATTGTGGGGCTGGTGATATTGAGTGAAAGATCTTACTGAGCTCCTGATGGCAGATGCTTTCCATCTTGTCAAATGAAAACTCATCCCCATCACTCTGCCCCTACGTCCTCCCCCAGCACTGGCCTTCCTACTACCATTTCACGGTGGCCTAGGCATATTTTCTTTTTCCCCAACCTGTAACACCCTCCTTTACACACTTGCACAGTCCTGGCTGGAGGTCTCATGAGGAGAGGGGCAGAGCCAAAGGTGAATGGGAAGAGCAGCCAGAACCAGGTAATCAGGGAGAAATGAGTTGCTGAAATGAAGGGTACTGGAGCAGTGTGAGGGGTAAGCTCCCACACTCCTGTCCTCTCTGCACACACAGTGGCTCAGGAACTGACTGTCTATGGTAGATGGGTAATGACTGTTCTGAGAGGCCTAAGGCAGCTGTCAGATCCTCATCTCAAGCCCTGAACTCCCTTGGCTATGGTACTTTGCTTTTGCCTCACTTCATCTTTGGAGGTAAACTGATCAGCTATAATGCCCATTTTACAGATGAGCCAACTGAGGCCCCAAGAGTTACATGATTTTTCTTGAAAGCACTCAGCTCCCTGACTGCCGTTTCCCCACAAGCAAACCCACAGTGCTGTTGTGCTACGTTTATGTTGCATGAAGTCCTCACTGTCATGAAAGTTGCCTCCTGCATTATGACAACAACCCCTCTGCAGACATGGACTCCATGGTAACACAAAGAAACCACAAAGGGAGTGAGTGGGAGGGTGTGTGCAATGAAAAGTCATGTGGACCTTTGGACAAGCAGTAAGTCAGGCCCTATCGTGAGGGGTGTATGTGACAACCAATCCAGCAGTGTTTAGGTTCCTGTGACCTTACTAAGTCTAGGCAAAATTCTGCTCTGCCATTTACCTCCAGGACAGCATTCACTACACCTGAAGTTGAAGCTATGGACATGTGTGGTAGCACCTCTCTGTTGAATGAAGCTGGAGGAGGTAGATACAATAAAGTTCAGGAGGTAAAGTCAGACTCCTACTCTCAGCCCCAGTAGCTTGCAGAGTCTCAGCCCTGAACTTCAGCGTGAGGTCTGGTGAGGCCATTTCCTCCAGACCTGTCCTGGCTGTGTGTCTTATAAGGCACAGTGCTGCACCTGCTACACACAACAGAGGAGCATGTTTACTACTAACCAACCCACACTTGAAGTCACTTTTGCCACGAACCAGGAGGGACCCTTACAATGAAGGTTTCTGGACCTTGGCCGTGAAGTGTGAATGGCTCTGGACTTCGGCCGTGCCAGTGCTCACACAGTGAAGTGTGAATGGCTCTGGACCTTGGCCGTGCCAGTGCTCACACAGTGAAGTGTGAATGGCTCCGGACCTTGGCCGTGCCAGTGCTCACACAGTGACGTGTGAATGGCTCCGGACCTTGTCCGTGCCAGTGCTCACACAGCGCACAGACCCAGACCCGCACCTGCGCGCAGAGCGTGTGCAGCACACCGTCGCGTCCTTCTGCCCGGGACACAGGGATGGTCGCACAGGTGTCACCATCGGGCAGGTTTAGCCAAGGACCCCGGAACCCCACATTCCTCTCGCCACAGCGTGCGAGCCCAGTGACCTCAAAACAGAAGTTGGACGGAGTTAACTCCGGTGCCTAGCGGCTGCCGTGGACCCGCCGTGCAGCAGGTCTCCGTGCGGTCCACGGCTGGCCGCTGCGGGGAGGGTGCAGGTCGGCTTGCGGGCCGGCGGGCGCCCCGTGTTCGGACGGGCCAGTGGGCCGTGGGCCGCGTCGGGGCGGCTCCGCCCCGGCCCGTGGCGCCAGGCGGTCAGAAGGGGCTCGGGCCTCCCCAGGACCTCAGAGGCCGGAGGCCCCCGGGCGCCGGCCCGCACCTCCACCCGCCCAGACCCGGCGTCCGCGGAGGGGCCGCGCGCCGAGGGCCGGAGGCCAGATCCCGGCGGCAACCCAGCCGCACGAGACCCGCGAGTCCGGGCACGCTCCGCGGGCGCCGGCGCGGGAGGGGCCCGGCGCCCGGATCTGGGCCGCGCGCCCACGAGTGGGTCGTGGTCGGGTGAGGACGCGCCGCGCCTGGGCCGGGGGCGCGCGCCTGGGAGGCCGAGCCGGGACCCCGGAGATGTGCGGGGGGGGTGGTGCGCGGACCGAGGCCGGGGCGCAGGGACTGCGGGAGGGCAGCAGGGGCTGGGGGCGGACCGAGGCTGGGGACAGACCCCGGGGGTCCGGGCCGGGGGGCGCAGGGGCCTGGAGCCCAGCGCCAGGGTGAGGCTGGGGGCGGGACTGGGGCCCGGCTCGGGGAACGGCGGCCGCCCCGAGACAAGGAGCTGGCGCGGCCGGGGCCCTCCCTGGTCCGGGCCCCTCGAGACTCCGCCGCGGCCTCGAGTCGGAGCAGCCCCCGGCCCGATCGCCCCGGAAACGCCGCCCTCCCCTCCGGCGCGTGGCGCGCCCGGAGCGCCTCCCGCTCGTGGAACAAAAGAGCAGCTCCGGGAGCGAGTCCCGCGCGAGCGCCGCCCGTCGGGCGCCCGGCCTCCCCGGGAGCCCCCGGCCGGCCGGGCTTTGTGTGGGCGCGGGGCGCGGGAAGCACGGCGGGGACCCGAGCGGCGGCGCGGGGCGCCCGAGTTCGAAAGTTGTCCGGGCCCCGGCTCGGGCTCGGGCGGGCGGCGCGGGCTCACCTTGCTCTTGACTTCCACCGCGCTGCAGTCGTAGAAGCGCAGGGTCTGAGACTTGTGGAAACTGCGGTTCATGGTGTCGGCCCCTCGGCCTCACCGCCGCCCTCGCCGCGCAGCGGCCCCGGAACGGCCCCGGGCGCCAGCCCCCGGCCCGCGCTCTCCCGGTGCGCGGCGGCTCTGCGTGCGGCGGGCCGGAGCTGAGCTGGCCGCGCGCCTCCGGCTCTCCAGGGGCCGCGCCTAGGAGGAGCGCGCCCGCCCCGCCCGCGCCCCGCTCCGCCCCGCCTCCTGCCGCCCGCGCCGCCCCGCTCGCGCCCCGCCCCGCCTCCTGCTGCCCGCGCCCCGCCCCGCCCCGCCTCCTGCCGCCCGCGCCGCCCCGCTCGCGCCCCGCCCCGCCTCCTGCTGCCCGCGCTCCGCCCCGGCCCGCCTCCCACCGCTCGCGACCCGCCCCGCCTATGCCCGCTTCCCGACCCCGCCTCCACGCCCCGCCCCCGCGCCCCGCCCCCGGAGTCCTGCCCAGCCTCCCAGTCCCGCCCCGCCCCCGGCGCCCCGCCCCCGGCGCCCCGCCCCCGGCGCCCCGCCCCCCGGCGCCCCGCCCCGCCCCCGGCGCCCCGCCCCGCCCCCGGCGCCCCGCCCCGCCCCCGGCGCCCCGCCCCGCCCCCGGCGCCCCGCCCCGCCCCCGGAGTCCTGCCCAGCCTCCCAGTCCCGCCCCGCCCCCGGCGCCCCGCCCCCGGCGCCCCGCCCCCGGCGCCCCGCCCCCGGCGCCCCGCCCCCGGCGCCCCGCCCCCGGCGCCCCGCCCCGCCCCCGGCGCCCCGCCCCCCCCCCGGCACCCCACCTCGTCCCGCGCCTGCCCCCCGGCACCCCGCCCCGTCCCGCCCCGTCCCGCGCCTGCCCCCCCCGGCACCCCACCTCGTCCCGCGCCTGCCCCCCGGCACCCCGCCCCGTCCCGCCCCGTCCCGCGCCTGCCCCCCGGCGCCCCACCTCGTCCCACCTCGTCCCGCGCCTGCCCCCCGGCGCCCCGCCCCCCGGCACCCCACCTCGTCCCACCTCGTCCCGCGCCTGCCCCCCGGCGCCCCGCCCCCCGGCACCCCACCTCGTCCCACCTCGTCCCGCGCCCGCCCCCCGGCGCCCCGCCCCCCGGCACCCCACCTCGTCGCGCGCCTGCCCCCCGGCGCCCCGCCCCGTCCCGCCCCGTCCCGCGCCTGCCCCCCGGCGCCCCACCTCGTCCCACCTCGTCCCGCGCCTGCCCCCCGGCGCCCCGCCCCCCGGCACCCCACCTCGTCCCACCTCGTCCCGCGCCTGCCCCCCGGCGCCCCACCCCCCGGCACCCCACCTCGTCCCACCTCGTCGCGCGCCTGCCCCCCGGCGCCCCGCCCCGTCCCGCCCCGTCCCGCGCCTGGCCCCGGGCGCTCGCCGCGTGCGTTCCTGCCCCGCTGACCTACCTGCCCCACACCAGGGTCTGGCGCCCCGCGCCCCTGGACGGCCTCGGTCCCGTGGGAGCGCCGCGGAAGCCGGGGCCTGGCCCGGGACCCCGTGGGTCCGCCGTCTGGGCCTCGAGCCGGCCCCCGAGGGAGAGACCGGAGACCCGAGCCTCTGCCGGGCGAGTCGCCGGGAACCGGGCCGCCAGACACCCCGGGCGGCCGTGCGAAGTAGAGTCGGCCGCGGGGCTTTGTGTCGGCCTTTGCGGTTGATGGCTAAGTCATGTGTGTCCGTCGGTCGTGGGTCTTGAACTCGGGGCCTGGCGCTCAGGACGCGCGCGCTGCCGCCGGAGCCTGCGCCCCCTCCGGTTCTCGGGTGGTTCATGGAGCCCTTGCCGCTGGGGCTGGCTTCGAACCGCCGTCCTCGACCCTCAGCCTCCTGCGGAGCTGGGCGGCAGGCGTGAGCCTCGGCGCCGGGCCTAGTTTTCAGCATAAAGGAATTGGGAGTGAAATCACCTCCATCAAGGCCTCAGCACCAACCCCACCAACCCCACCAGCCTTCGGCTGAGCTTCGCCCCGGCATCCTGTCCTTTATAAAGTATGGCCACGCTTTTCCTGCGGCTGTCACCACGGGACGGACCGTGGACGTTTTCTTTACATGTTCGTAGGAAACATGTTTGGAAAGCCGAGTGTGTGAATACGAGCACAACGAAAGATTATCCTGTGCTACTGGAGAGTAAAAGCTATCTCCAAAGTTTACACATTGTTTTTAAACTGATTTCTGGCCATTTCTTTAAAAATCAACTCTTAATGGAGTTATTAGGCCATAAAGTACATGTATCTCTAAAGCCTTTGATAGTTTGCCAAATTATATCCCCCCAGTGTGATTTTCATGTAATTTTGGTACATATTCATACAGTTACGTGCCAAAGCCTATGGTCACAAAGTTTCTGCTCTTAAGAAACACTCAACTACCCAGAACCAGACATGTAGACTGAGTCCCAAACAGGCACACGTGAAGTAAGCCAGCAAGCAGAAATGCCAAGCGGTGCACATTTGGCAAGCAGCCTGGATAAAGTGCTGACTTTCTTTGAAGGAAAGCAGTCTAAACCAAACACAGCCTTTAGGCTTGTGAAAAGTCATAGGCCGCCGCCTAAGGGCAAGCTGCCTACTCCAAGGGAACTTTGTTTTGCAGATGGAAGATGTTTGGGGGCATCCCAAACCTTTAAAAAAAATCGAGTAATGGTAGCTTTCTGGGGAGAGCTAGAAATGAGAGACCAAGCAGGCTCAGGGTTCTGCAGTGGGGAGACTCTTTAAGTTTCAAGCAGCTCCCAACAGGCTTCTCAGGCAGCCTGATGGGAGGTCTGCGTGAGGTCTGGGGCCAACATGCTCACTAAGTGCGGTCAGCTGCCCTTTACTGAGGCCCCCGAGTCTCAGTGGCATTTGAACCAGCCTCCCAGGTGACTGGAGCACAGTGACATTCCAGAAGGTGTGTGCTTGGGTCCTCACCACGCGCCTCTCAGGTCCTGCTTGGGCTGGGGAGTAGTCGGCAGCAGGAGGAAGCCGATGTGCCTGAGCCAGTTCTCAGGTGAGCAGCCACAGTATGCCGGTGAAAACCTGTTTACAATCTAGCTGCAGGGCTGGAAGCCCCTCCCTCAGACTGAGGCAGACACCTCACTGGTGGGTCCTAATCTTCCTCAAGTCAGACTCAAAGAATCTATCCCAAAACTGGAAGCCATAGCTGGGCATAGTAGTATCTATCTGTACTTTCAACCCCTCAGGGGGTTGAAGCAGGATTTTGAGTGTGACTTTGTCACAGCAAGAAAGCAATCTGTGCTAAATGATTAACACCCTGTAGAATACATTTCTTAGGTCCTGAGTCTCCAAAAGATAAATAAGAGTAGACCTCAAAATCTCAAATTTCTAGATAGATGGTAACTGGGAAAATTCTAATAAAAAAGAAAGGAGATTGGCAATCTGAAAAGTTTCCAGATTTTCAAACTGCAAAACACACAAAGAAGTTTAAAAAAAATTTTTTTTAAGAAACTTCATCTGTTGCAGGAGAAGTCAGACTTAATAGTAGTTGCTGAAGCCAGTCCTCAGAGATTTGTGGAGCTGCTTGTGATAGAGAAGTTGCCAGCCAGGGAAGCCTGGCTAGCAAGCGAGCCAGTGTGCACGTGTGGTGACACCAGTGGCAGGCCAGAGGAAGCCACAAGAGTGCCCATACCTGGCATGCACAACGGTTCTTATGCACGCCACTCCAGCAGAAGATACTAGCAACGTCTGAAAGCACCCACTGTCAGGAAGGGAGGGTGTGCTACTGGCTAGATGCTGCTGGCCAGAGATGCTGCTGAAGCTGGGACAATGCACAGGACAGCTCCCATCATGAAGAGGGACCCAGACAAGAAGTTGTACCATGGTAGTGCTAGCCTCCTAAAGCTCTGGGGCCTGGCTCTTTCCTGTTTCCTAGGAGGATACTCCCTTCTGCTTGATTGGTCAGGCTTGAGGGCCTTCTGTTATCCACTCCTGGACGGCCTGGGCCTGGGCCTCGGCAGCCTGGAGAGTCCTCAACAGCTCTCTCGCTTGCCCTCCTCACACATGTGGCAGAAGTCAGAGGCCCAGGCAGATGGTCACTGGGCTTTGCTTCTGCCTCCTGCTCACATCTGGGAAGTCGGAGCCTCATCCTGTTTCATGGGTTTTATACTATCAGGCATCTGTGGGCAGAACCCACAAATGAACCAGAGGCTGTTCTCTCCTTGCACCCCTGGCTACACAAGTTCAGAAGGTGGGAAGGGTGAGGACACCTCGGTCTCTGGACACTATGTGCCGAGAGCTGCATAGAGCCACCCCCTTCCCGAGGAAGGGCAAGGGCAAGCCATGCTCTCTCAGCTACACTTCCTGTCAGCTAAGACCCAGAATCCAGACCCTGAGCACCCTGCCCGCATGCCAGGAATATGAGGTGGTCATTTGTAAGGTCCCACTCATGGGTGGAATTACAGGGGCCTTCTCCTGATTCCATATACCTTTAAAAGCCTGCCATGAATATGGATTCCTGTAATCAGGCTGTGTGAAAAGGAAGCACAGAAGCACAAAATGACCTCATCTGAGCAGCCTGTGGCATAGTGACCCAAATCCCTGTGCCTGAGGCGGCTGACTCCCAAATCCCGGCCTGGGAAGGGAGTGGAGGGTACCGCTGCTCATGTCCAGATGGCCCTTCAGGAGTCTCCCTGTGGTGTGAGCATATGGCAGACTGGGGTAATGCCCACAGCAAATCAGAGCAGGAAATCGTAGGTGAACTTGAGAGAGGTTCTCAACTACTCATACTAGCTGCGACTGGTCTGGAGTGTGGATATCCTGAATCTACTCAGAGTAGCTGTGACTGGTCTCCAGTGTGGATATCCTGAATCTACTCAGAGTATCTGGTCTGGTATGGATATCCTGTATCTAGTCATAGTATCTGTGATTGGTTTGGAGTGTGGATATACTGTATCTAGTCATAGTATCTGTGATTGGTCTGTAGTGTGGATATCCTGTATCTACTTATATCAGCTGTGACTGGTCTGGAGCAGGGATATCCTGTATCTAGTCATAGTATCTGTGACTGGTCTGGAGTGTGTATACCCAGTATCTACTTATAGCAGCTGTGACTGATGTGGAGTAGGCTGCCTTGTATCTGGTCAAACTCTGAGGGAAGCACCTGTGGCTCATG